AAATGGCTCTAAACTCGCCTAAAATGGACCTAAAATTGCCTAAAATGGTCCCAAAACAAGCCCGAAAGAGCCAATAAATGGAGCTTTCCTGGAAAAATGTTTGGGAATTTGGGAAAAATTTGGGATTTTGGGGGGAAAATGGGGATTTTGGGGAAAAAAAGCTGGAAAAATGGCTCCAAAATCACCTGAAATGGACCTAATATGGCTCTAAAATCACCTAAAATGGTCCCAAAACATCCCCAAAATAACCACAAGAGATCCAGAAAAAGGAGATTTCCTGTCAAAAAAAAAGGGGGGGATCAGGATTGGGGGGGAAAATGGGGATTTTGGGGGTGAAAATGGGGATTTGGGGGGTGGAAAAACCCCGAAAAAATGGCGCCAAAATCGCGTAAAATGGCTCTAAACTCGCCTAAAATGGTCCCAAAACAAGCCCGAAAGAGCCAAAAAAAGGAGCTTTCCTGGAAAAATGTTTGGGAATTTGGGAAAAATTTGGGATTTTGGGGGGAAAAATGGGGATTTGGGGGGGAAAAACCCCGAAAAAATGGCGCCAAAATTGCGTAAAATGGACCTAAAATGGCTCTAAACTCGCCTAAAATGGACCTAAAATTGCCTAAAATGGTCCCAAAACAAGCCCGAAAGAGCCAAAAAAAGGAGCTTTCCTGGAAAAATGTTTGGGAATTTGGGAAAAATTTGGGATTTTGGGGGGAAAAATGGGGATTTGGGGGGGAAAAACCCCGAAAAAATGGCGCCAAAATTGAGTAAAATGGACCTAAAATGGCTCTAAAACCACCCAAAATGGCCCTAAAATGGTCCCAAAACATGCCCAAAATAACCACAAAAGATCCAGAAGTCCCAAAACAAGCCCGAAAGAGCCAATAAATGGAGCTTTCCTGGAAAAATGTTTGGGAATTTGGGAAAAATTTGGGATTTTGGGGGGAAAATGGGGATTTTGGGGAAAAAAAGCTGGAAAAATGGCTCCAAAATCACCTGAAATGGACCTAATATGGCTCTAAAATCACCTAAAATGGTCCCAAAACATCCCCAAAATAACCACAAGAGATCCAGAAAAAGGAGATTTCCTGCCAAAAAAAAGGGGGGGGATCAGGATTGGGGGGGAAAATGGGGATTTTGGGGGTGAAAATGGGGATTTGGGGGGTGGAAAAACCCCGAAAAAATGGCGCCAAAATCGCGTAAAATGGCTCTAAACTCGCCTAAAATGGTCCCAAAACAAGCCCGAAAGAGCCAAAAAAAGGAGCTTTCCTGGAAAAATGTTTGGGAATTTGGGAAAAATTTGGGATTTTGGGGGGAAAAATGGGGATTTGGGGGGGAAAAACCCCGAAAAAATGGCGCCAAAATTGCGTAAAATGGACCTAAAATGGCTCTAAACTCGCCTAAAATGGACCTAAAATTGCCTAAAATGGTCCCAAAACAAGCCCGAAAGAGCCAATAAATGGAGCTTTCCTGGAAAAATGTTTGGGAATTTGGGAAAAATTTGGGATTTTGGGGGGAAAATGGGGATTTTCGGGAAAAAAAGCTGGAAAAATGGCTCCAAAATCACCTGAAATGGACCTAATATGGCTCTAAAATCACCTAAAATGGTCCCAAAACATCCCCAAAATAACCACAAGAGATCCAGAAAAAGGAGATTTCCTGTCAAAAAAAAAGGGGGGGATCAGGATTGGGGGGGAAATGGGGATTTTGGGGGGAAAATGGGGATTTGGGGGAAAAATGTAGATTTGGGGGGAAAATGGGGATTTGGGGGGAAAAAACCCCGAAAAAATGGCTCTAAAAAAATTCACTAGAATTTCCTAAAATTCACTAGATAGACTCAAAAAATCGCCAAAAAATCCCAAAAAATCCCCCAAAATTCCCAAATTTTTTAGGTACATTTGGAGACCTCCAGGGACCAAAATCCCCTTAAAATTCCCTATACTGACCAAAATAATGCCCAAAAAATCAGATTAAAACTCAAAAAAATCCCCAAAAATTCGCTCTATTGACCCAAAACACCCTGAAAAAAATCCCTGAAAAAAATCCCAAAAAATTCCCAAAAATTCCCAAATTTTTTAGGCACATGTGCAGACCTCCAGGGATCAAAATCCCCTTAAAATTCACTATACTGACCAAAAAAATGCCCCAAAAATCAGAATAAAACCCCAAAAAAAGCCGGAAAATTCGCTCTATTGACCCAAACCACCCCCAAAAAAATCCCCAAAATCCCCCAAAAATTCCCCAAATTTTTCCGGACTCACGCTGCCCCCGGGCACGCCGGTGCGGTCCCAGGTGAGGGTGAGCTCGCTGCTGAGCCCGCCCAAAAAAATTTGTGAAAAAATCCTGAAACATTCACCAAAAATCCTGAAAAAATCCAAAAAAAATCCTGAAAAATTCCTGAAAAATTGTCCAAAAATTACCCAAAAATTAGCAAAAAAATCGGAAAAATTCCCCAATTTTTTAGGGATTCTTAGAGACCTTCAGATCTACTTAAGGACTCCCAAAACCACGAAAATTCCCCCCAAAAGATCCCTAAAATTCGTTACAAAAGCAAAAAAATATGCAATAAAATTCGGAAAAAATACCAAAAAAATTCCTAAAAAAATCCCCAAAAAATCTCAAAAAATCCCAAAAATTCCCAAATTTTTTAGGTACATTTGGAGACCTCCAGGGACCAAAATCCCCTTAAAATTCCCTATACTGACCAAAATAATGCCCAAAAAATCAGATTAAAACTCAAAAAAATCCCCAAAAATTCACTCTATTGACCCAAAACACCCCGAAAAAAATCCCCAAAAAATCCCCAAAAATTCCCAAATTTTTTAGGTACATTTGGAGACCCCCAGGGACCAAAATCCCCCCAAAATTCTCCTGAAAATTCACTAGATAGCCTCAAAAAATCGCCAAAAAATCCCCGAAAATTCACTCTATTGACCCAAACCACCCCCAAAAAAATCCCGAAAATCGCCCAAAAATTCCCCAAATTTTTCCGGACAAATGGCTCTAAAAAAATTCACTAGAATTTCCTAAAATTCACTAGATAGACTCAAAAAATCGCCAAAAAATCCCAAAAAATCCCCCAAAATTCCCAAATTTTTAGGGATTCCTGCAGGTATTCCAACTCACTTAAGGAGTCCCAAAATCCAATTGAAATCCCTCTAAAATCTCTAAAATTCACTATAAAATCCAAAAAAAATCACCCAAAAATCCCCAAAAATCCCAAAAAATCCCAAAAATTCCCAAATTTTTTAGGTTCATTTGGAGACCTCCAGGGACCAAAATCCCCTTAAAATTCACTATACTGACCCAAAAAATACCCAAAAAATCCGAATAAAACCCAAAAAAAACCCCAAAAGTTCGCTCTATTGACCCAAACCACCCCGAAAAAAATCCCCAAAATCCCCCAAAAATTCCCAAATTTTTTAGGTTCATTTGGAGACCTCCAGGGACCAAAATCCCCTTAAAATTCACTATACTGACCCAAAAAATACCCAAAAAATCCGAATAAAACCCAAAAAAAACCCCAAAAGTTCGCTCTATTGACCCAAACCACCCCGAAAAAAATCCCGAAAATTCCCCAAAAATTCCCCAATGTTTTTCCGGACTCACGCTGCCGCCGGGCACGCCGGTGCGGTCCCAGGTGAGGGTGAGCTCGCTGCTGAGCCCGCCCGAGGCGTTGAGCTGCGCCTCCACCTGCAGCAGGTAGCGGTTGCCGCGCTCCGGCTTCCCGAAGAGCCGCTCGGGCCGGGGCCGCCGCAGGGGCCGCGTCTCGCGCTCCTGCTGCGCCCCCCAGCGGCCGACCTCCTCCTGCAAGAGTGGGGAGGGGGCGTCAGCACCGGGGACCCCTCCTCAAAAAAACCCCGCCCCGAAATTCCGTTGTTTTCCCAAAAAAATCCCGGGTTTTAAGGGAAAAATCCCATTTTTTAGACCAAAATTCCATGCTTTTTCGTAGGAAGATGGCGGAATTTGGGGGTTTTGGAATTTGGGGAGGGGTCTCACACCCGGGGACCCCGCCTCAAAAAAACCCCGCCCCAAAATTCCGCTGTTTTACCAAAAAAATCCCGGGTTTTAGGGGAAAAATCCCGGTTTTTAGACCAAAATTCCATGCTTTTTCATAGGAAAATGGAGGAATTTGGGGGTTTTGGAATTTGGGGAGGGGGCTCCCGGGTCTGAGACCCCTCCCCAAAAAACCCATCCCGAAATTCCACTTTTTCCCCCAAAAATTCGCCCCAAATTCCCCAAAAATTCCCAAATTTTTGGTCCAGCTGTCCCAAAACCTCCCCAAGTCGCCATTTTAAGACCCCAGAATGCCCCAAAATGGCCCCAAAACTGCCAAAAAATCCCAAATTTTCCACTAAAATTCCCAAATTTTTGGTCCAGGTGTCCCAAAACCTCCCCAAGTCGCCATTTTAAGACCCCAGAATGCCCCAAAATGGCCCCAAAACTGCCAAAAAATCCCAAATTTTCCCCAAAATCCCCAAATTTATCCCAAAATCCCCGTTTTTCTCACCAGTTCTGTGGAATTTGGCCTCTTTCCACTGAGAGCCGCTGGATCCGGGCCCCAAAACTGCCCCAAATCCCCTCAAAACTGACCCCAAAAATCCCCAAAAAAATCTCAAAAAATCCCAAAAATGCCCAAAAATAAAAACAAATCCCCCACAATTCCAGAAAAATTCCCAAAAATCCACAAGAATTCCAGAAAATCCCCCAAAAAATCCCCAAATTTTCCATTGTCCTGTTCCAAACCTCCCTCAAATCCGTCCCAAGCCGCCATTTTGAGACCCCAGAACACCCCAAAATCGCCCCAAAACTGCCAAAAATGGCCTCAAAAGCCCCAGCAATTCCCAAATTTTCCACAATATTCCCAAAAAATTTCTGATTTTCTGATTTTTCCCCAAAATCCCCGTTTTTCTCACCAGTTCTGTGGAACTGGGGCTCTTTCCCAGCCGGGCCACCACCGAGAGCCGCTGGATCCCGGCCCCAAAACTGCCCCAAATCCCCTCAAAAAATCCCCTCAAAAATCAAAAAAATCCCAAAAATTCCAGAAAAAAAACAAAAAATCCCCAAAATTCCCGATTTTTCCCCAAAATTCCCGGTTTTCTCACCAGCTCCGTGGAATTGGGGCTCTTTCCCAGCCGGGCCACCACCGAGAGCCGCTGGATCCCGGCCCCAAAACTGCCCCAAATCCCTCAAAAATGACCCCAAAAAATCCCCCAAAAAGTCCAAAAAAAATCCAGAAAAATTCCCAAAAAACATTTTAAAAAACCTCCCTAAAATTCCAGAGAAATCCCAACATTTTCTCCAAAATTTCCCAGATTTTCCATTGTCCAGGTCCCAAACCT